GCCAGCTCCCTTGAGTCTGTGTGTCTGTGTAGGCTGTGTGAGCGCCATGGCAGCACCCTTTTCAGGAGTAGTGCTCATCTGGGCAGCCTTGTGTGCTTATCTGACTTCTGGGTGGTTGTTTTCTACAGATCTGATGCTGGAGAACAAGTGTTGATGTTTTAAGTGTAGATTTTATTTTTAGAATGTTACATTTACTCTATGGGGGGTGTCCAAGCACACATGCCACGGTATGCATATGGAGGCAGCCAGAAGGTAACTTGCAGGAATTGTTTAGCACGTGGATTCATCCCGAGGATCACATTCAGGTCAGTAGCTTTCCGGGGAGCAAGTGCCTTTACCTTCTGAGCCATCTGGTGGCCCTAAATGTAGATTTAAATGCATTAAACCTTTATGCAAAGACGTGCTCAAGGTTACCAACCCAGTCACCATTCTACAGTCAAATTCCTGGTAAATCAACCTCATTAGTATTCCGTTACCGTGTTAAAAAAAAAAAAAAAAAGCAAGTTATCATCGTTGCTTATGCTCTTCCTCCCAAGCAAACTCACTGACTGAATGAGTGAGTTCCAGAACTCATCCAATGGCCTCATTTCAAAGACAATTTGTGGCAGTTCTTCTGACATTTTGCCCTACCATCTCCAGTCTTCAAAAATTTCACAGGAATAGCAAGATTCACACTAAATCACTTTCTCTCTGACCCTGAGTGAATTCTAGCAAAACAGCAAAAACCTGCTACAGTCAACTTGACTTGAATAGCTGTTGTCAAATATGCCTTGGAAGCATGAAAAAGTCACAAACTTTTGGCATAAACAGGACCCATATTGACTAGGAAACAAATTAATGGGGAAATCTCATGAAAAAGGGTTTTTTTTTGTTTTGTTTTGTTTTGAATCTATTTCTTGGGTCTTACTAAGAACTCAAGTTCATTAGATGCTTTTGGCCACTGAAGCTTATATGCTGCACACCAGTTTCATGTTTTAGACGCATTACACTACTGGCCCTTTATAATCAGACTTCTATTAACTATGCCACTTTATAGCCAGAAAAAGTAGATTACAGGACTTACTGAAGATCACCAATTTAAAACACTGGGTACCACGTTGTGGGTCACAGAAAGCTGTTTTCACTGAATCATGCTAACTAGCACAACCGGTTGATTATAAGCAACAACCATACACTAAGATGAAAAAATGATCCATAGGAAGAACTCTTCCATGAGATGGCTACCTTCTTCAAAGAAACATCTGGGTATGGTAGCTAGAAAGGAGAACATTCTTTCTCAAAAAGAATGGATCTCAACGGAGGCAATGCAGTCAGTGTCCCTCATCTGGGGACTTGGAGGAGTCTCTGTAGGAGTGTTAGTGCTGGCTGGCCCCCAGAAGGTAGCAGCCAGGACAGAGCGATCTTAAAATACACTCACACTCAGCAACGCAAACTCTGAACAGCGTTAACATTCAAAATCCTTACCTGAAGTAACATTTGTCTACTGTAGTATAAATTCTCAAGGAAAACATGGATTTTATTTCTAGAATAAGGAACCAGGAGTTTATTTCCGCATCTCTTAGGAAAGCCTTGCTTGGTTTACATGTGGCAATGATTGCAAGCAAATACATGTCTTACTCTAGTACAGGTACATTCACATTTAGCTGCCCTCACCTAAGCAAGCAGTTGCAGTTTTGTTGAAATGGGGAAAAAAAAATCTATGAAACAAGCAAAATAACTTCAGATAGCAGCTTACTACAAACTAGTAAACAAGGGGCTGCGGTGGTATCATACAGAGTACAACTCCATAGCTTTTCATCCGTGTGTGAGCATTCCCAAGGCACTCAAGGAGCACCCACTACTACCAAGTGGCAAATTAATGCTAATCCCAACACTCCTCCACCTATAAAGGACTTTGTTCCAAGTAAGTTTTCTCTCCATTCTCTCTCTTCTGAAGACCTGAGCAAAACCAAACATCCCCAAACAACCCAGAGATCTGATGTGAGAATGAAGATCTGAAGGCTCCACCAAAGAGCTTTAATCTACTAAATAACATCTTTGGGAATCTGACTCACTGATGCTGCGGGTCTAGCAGAAAACAATCACATACATCACCTCTTCGGCATTTTCAGAGTTGCTTGTTTAAATGCTTCAAGAAAACGAAATCCTTTTTGGGATGTCATGCTAGTTTTCCAACATTGAAAGAAAAAAACCATGTTACTGAAACCCAAACGCCCTAAACCACGATACAGGTCTTCACAAAATCTTTATTAGTATTACTAAGAAAACAAGCTACTCTTGTACTGAACAGGGAAAAATAAATAATACCACTTTGTGTTTTTCCTAAGAAAACAGCTTTATCTGGTGAGCTCTGGATAGCTGCTGGCACACTTCTATTGTGTTCTATTTTTCAACCAAATGTCAATTTTTCAACTCCACAGAAATTAAAAAAGACAGTAACTTAAAAGTAAAAATGAAATTTTGAGTCAAGGCTACAATTTGAATTTTTCTTGGAAGCTTCCACATCCAAATATCAAAAATTTAATTTTGACAACTTAGGTTTACACACTCGCACACACACACCCACCCATTTGAGAAAGGGTCTTGTTATGTAGCCCAAGCTGCCCTTGAACTCATGATCGTCCTGCGTCAGCCTCAAGATTCTCAAATTTAATGTGAGAAGAAAATATCACTTCCATCACAAAGCATTACTATACATTTCATCACATAACTGAACGTGGCTCTGAAGACATATGAACAAATTAAATGAAATTAAACAAATTCTTCAGCAGCTGAGGATTTTATATACTTCAACATTTTGAACCTCATACCCAAGGCAGAGCTAGATACAAAAATAGCCAAACATCCTAGAGAAGTTAATTGTGTATATCCCTGTGTTATGTTTACACAAGGAATGTGTAGATTACAAAGGACTCATTTGGTTACTTAATTATGATTAATTCATGTAAATATACAAACATTTAACAAAGCCATCATATTCCAATCTCTTAAGAATTCTAACTGCTAGTAGCTAAGCAGCTTTTAGATATCACTAACAAAATATATGAATAGTAGCATTCTATCCTAACTTTATAAATAACTCTTGTTAGACTTCTTTTCTTCCTAAATTTCATAAGACAGTCTAAACCCAAAACTCAATGCATATTGTTTTCTTTTAAAATAATTTCTGATAGTTTCAAACTAACTTCAATGTATTCATAAAAAGTGCCAACAGCCTGCTCTCACACTACATACTTCTAGGAACCTCCCAGGTAGAGAACTGCCAGGCAGAGCCCCACCTTTCTGGTGTGAGTGGTGATGTATCTGGATTCCATTCCTTGCTACTTCCAATTCAGATCTGGACCACTACATCACCAGCGCATTAGTGTGGCTCAGCACTGAAACCTGAGCATTCTTCTGATGGCCTGTGTATAGATATCATTCCTCTGCTCTGTATGTATAGGTAGTGGACACTTCAACTACTAAAGTAGCATTTTCTTCAGAAAAGAATTTATCAATGTAGGAAAATGAGTTGATTTGCAAAGACTCAAAACAGAAAAACAAAACATAACATGGACCTTGAGTTCAAGAGAAACCAAGGAAAAACCCAATGAAAGTATATGGGTTTAACTTTAAGTAATTAACTAAGACAGTCACAGAACACATGACTGTCACAATTCTATTCAGTCCTAGAGCCTGATGTACTGTAACTCACTGTGAAACCATTAACCGAGATCTTAACTATATCCTCATCTATACCATAGTAACGCATAGTCCACAATCTACTAAACTATTAGCTTTATGCAAATTATGGCATAAAATTTGTTACCTGCCGTCTTTTGACATGGCACCAACTTCCAATAATGTTCCAGGCCAATGCATTAACGGAACTGCTCACCAGCACCAATGTCTCCTGCAGCATCTGGCCTTCAGAGCCAAGCTGTTCTATAATAGCCAGTCTGTTCCCACCTAAAACAACCTAAAAGCATTCTACTACTACAGCACCTAAGTTCGATAACGGGAGAAGTATTTTAGTTCATTCACAGTTTTACATCTAACGGTGCCATTTGTAAGCCAATTACTTGAAACTGCTCACCCAATCAAATAACTGCCCCCTTTTGATGCATGTAAACTCCATCTGCACAGCGTGGAGAGATGTCTTTATTTCAGAATAGCTTACTGTTAACAGGAGCACCACAATCTGAAGGAGCTACGGTGTGAAATGAGCTCATGGAATGTTAGATCAAACTTCAGCTACAACAAAAAGAACTGCAAAAGGTTTGCTCCCCCAGCAAACAGTCAACACTTACCGAAGACAACATGGAGGTTAGCTTGACTAGAGACGGGCTGGGGAGGTGGGGACTGTAACTCAACTACAAGAAAGCTTCAGCTAACAAAATGAGAGGTGGCCAGCTTCAGAATGTCCTGAAAACGAACCTTGAGAGCACAGGTGAGGTTTTTAGCCTTCAGGAACAAAGGCAGACATTCAACAGGAATGAACCAGTCTTTGAGGAAAAACGCACACGCGTGGAACTGAGAAAAACTAAGTACTTAAATGTGAAGATAATTTATAATAGAAAAAGTTGCAAATTGCTGTGACTTGATTTGCTAAAACGATCTATAAATTCACACTGGTGGTTGGTTAGAAAACCAGTTTCAACATTAACTCCTCTCTCACCAGATAATGTTTTCTGTGCAAAAGTATCTGAAAATTGCATTAATGCTTATTTTAACTGGTATTGTGAATAATTTGCACATGCTGTTACAGACAATACTTATTTGTAACCCTGTTCATGCAAAAATCAGTGTGCACAAGGGGATATTGTTAAGCCTTATACTTAAGTGATACTTTATTATCTTTGCTAAGATGCCAATCTCTGAAATATAACATTTTAAATGAATATTCTTATCTGCCTGTTAAAAATCAATTTATGTTGCTGAAAGAAGAGGTTATACAAGGAAAGAAACATGGTTTTTGTGTTGAAGAATTGATTTTAAATGAGAATTTATAAAACAAGAAATCCATGGTCACAAAATTTTAACATTTTAATCCTACACATTACAGGGCAAACAGATACTGGACCCTATCTCCCCATTCCATAAATCCTAACTTTAGTTCCCATTTCAAATGTTGCCCTAACCACTAACACATTAGTGGTTTTACAATCTCTGGATTATGGAAATACAGATTTCTGAAGTAAATGCTATAAAAACAACAATGGAAGAAAGCTGAACAAACTCTCCATGGAGGAAAACAACAGTGGAACATCCTGAAGCTTCTAGACACTTCTCTTTCGTGTCTATGGTCAACTTGTCGATTCAGTGCATTGTGCGGTCAAATGTAATGGTCCCCATGTGGAACACGCGTCTAACTAGTGTCCATTGATTCCAAATTAGTGGATGACGAATCTTTTTGGATACTTTCGAAGATGGCCGCCAGCTCCGGGTTAGAGCTGATCTGTGACTGGAATTCACTCATGAGTGGGCTCTTCTCGGCTTCGGGAATGGTTAACAATGCTGCCACTGCCCTCATGGCGGATCGCTTTAACTCATCTTGCTTTTCAAACTCCTGCTTTACAGAGTTTGCCTTTACCTGCAATACAAAGTAAAATCGGGTTACATGCTGGAACACTAACCAAATGTATGCAGACAGGAACTCTTGGTAGGTTACGTAAAGCCCCTCCCTCCCTCCCAGGTCAGAAGACACACTGCTCTGCAAGTGCAGTGTGCACCAACCCTCTTCCTGAGGCGCCAGCTCTCACCTAGGAAGGAGTATGTCACACAACCCTATCACAAAAAGACCGAATCATCCAGTAATGTTTCCATGCATGCCTTTGTTTAGAATTACCTGGACTAAAACACAACCAAACCTGTCTCATCTTCACGGTTCCAAGTCCTCACTCTCCAAGATTCATTTCAAGCACCCCTCATATGTGTCAGCTATGCCCCTCTCTAGGAAGAACTAGAGTCTTCATTTTTTGAAGCCTAATTGTATCTTATCCCATACTGATCATACTTCAGTCCACTTTTTACTTTCATTTCTTTAAAAAATTTTTATGGGTTTTTGTTTGTTTTGCCTAAATTCACATATGAAGGGGAAAAAACACATTTGTTTGACTCTGGCTTATTTTGCTTACCACGATTATCTTAAATCTACACATTTCCCTGGAAATGATATAATTTCATTTTCTTACTGCTATTCTGTATTATATGTTTGCTTGTATTTGTGTGTGTGTGTGTGTGTGTGTGTGTGTGTGTGTGTGTGTGTGTGTGTATATATACACACACATACTATGTATCACACTTTAAAAATCCATTCATGCTGGGTGGTGGTGGTGCACGCCTTTAATCCCAGCACTCGGGAGGCACAGTCTCTGTGAGTTTGAGGCCAGCCTGGGCTACAGAGTGAGTTCCAGGACAGGCTCCAAAGCTACACAGAGAAACCCTGTCTTGAAAAATCTAAATAAATGAATAAATAGAAATCCACTCATCTCATGAGCACCTAGATTGATTCCATAGTTAGCTACTGTAAAAAGTGTTACAATAAACATGGTATGCAAGTATTTGACTGTATGTCATGGTAGTTCATGCTACTTTCCTGTTTTTTAGAATCAGCCATACTGATTTCCAGTGGCTGAAATCATTTATGTGCCTATCAACACTACTCCAATTCCCTTTTCCTTGCATCCTTACTAGCATGTTTCTTAATGTTTTGTTTTCTTGAGAACGTGAGATGGAAATCTTTTGATTTGTATTTCCTTAATGACGTTCTTTCATTACATATTGATCACTTGTACAACTTCACCTGCAAAGTACCTGTCCAATTCATTACCCACCCACCCCAGCTGAGGACCAAACCCAGAGCCCTGCACTTGCTAGGCAAGCGCTCTACCACTGAGCTAAATCCCCAACCCCTTCATTACTCATTTATATACTAAATTATCTGTCTGTTAGTCTGTTTATATTCTGGGTACCAAGCCCACATCACATGAACAGCTGGTAAAGGTTTTCTCCTTTGATCATACTGAGTTGTTGATCTCTGTACAGAGTAAGAGGAAAGGATCTGCTGGGCAGTAATGGCACACACCTTTAATCCCAGCACTCCAGGAGGCAGAGGCAGGTGGATCTCTGTGAGTTTGATCACAGTCTGGTTTACAGAGCAAATTCCAGGACAGCCAGAGTTGTTACACAGAGAAACCCGGTCTCCAAAACAAACAAACAAACAAAAAAACCCCAACCAACCAACCAAAGGAAAAACAAAAACAAACAAAAAAAACCCCTAACCTAACCAAACAAGAGAGGGAGGTCTCCATCCCAGGATGTCCAGTTTCCCAGGATCAGCTTTAGAGGGCTGTTTTTTTTCCTCCAATCTTGTCATCAATCAGATGAAAAAGTAGGGGGAGGGGGACAAATTATTAAAAACAATCGAAAACAAATAAAAATAAAGTAAAACCCAGATGGCCATAGCTATGTAGGCTCACTCCTGAGTATTCTGTTTCAGTCCCTTTATCTCTGTGTCTGATTCCGTGCCAATATCACACTGCGTTTGCTACTATGGATCTGCATATATATACATGTAAGTAGCATGCTGGGATGCTTCCAATGTTGACATTTTTGCTCAGAATGACTTTGGCTAGTGATGGTTTTGTATTTGTTGACATGGTTTCTCTGCGGTTTGTACTGGTTCATAGAAAAGCCACTCACTACTGCGTCTCTGGACTTTGCTAAGAGTCTAGATCTTTTAAGTATAAGGCCACACTATCCTGAAGCAGGGATAAGGTAATTAATTACCTTTTCTGTTTCTGTTTCACCCTTCTCTTGCCTTATCACTCTAAGATTTGAGGAACTACAGAGTAAGAATGTTAAGTGTGGACAACCTTGTCTTTTATTTAAGAGGGAATGCTTTAAGTTTTTCTCAAGTGTAATGCTGGCTATCAATTTGTGCACACTGCCTTTATTACATGGCAGAACGACCCTCTGGTTTCCAGTTCCACAGGACTGTCATCACAAAGGGATGCTTACTTGTATAAGGACGTCTCCTGCGTCTCCTTGAGTCCTTTCCTTTTATCTACGTGCTGTATATATCACACACTACACTCACTAGTCGTGTACATTACCTCATCTTACAGCCTGTAATCAACACCTTCATCTCTTTAATGTGCTGCTCAATTCTCCTGAGCACATGAGGGTCTCTGGCTCTAAGACCATTGAGGAAACTGTCCAGTTTTACTTCTGCTGTCTTTATCTGGTTCTGACAGCAGAGTGAACCCTGCTCTGAGTTAACAAGGGTTCCACCCTCTGTACAACAGCACTTTACCAGGATATGTGGTATAGAGGTGAGTCCAGTATAAGATACAAGTTTATAGCTATGAGTACCTACAATGAAAAAAAAATCAGAAATGTCCAGTAAGCTAATGATGTACTCCAGTAATCAAGAGATTGAGGCCAACCTGGGCTATACAAGTTTCAGGCCAGTTTGTGCTCAAGAGTGAGATTCTACCTCAAACATCCAAATTTAGAAAAGATTTAGAAAAATAATAATAAACAAAACCCAAAAAGCAGAAAGAAAGAAACAATAAAAATCAGAGCTGAAATCAGTGAGGCAGAAATCAAGAGATTCCTAGTAACACAAGAAATTAATGAAACAGAGTTGGTCTTTTGAAAAGATAAACAAAACTGACAAGCCATTTTCTTCAAGAGGAAGAAGTAAGAGGCAAATTAATTAGCCTTGAGACAGAATAAGAAATATTACGACAGACACCACTGAAATCCAAGAAGACCATTAGGGAAGACCGTGACAAAGTAGATGCAAATCAATGGAAAATTCTAAGAACTGAATAAATTTCTAGATCTATTTGAGCTATAAAACTGAACCGAGCCAGGCAGTGGTGGCACACACCTTTAATCCTGACACTGAGGCAGAGGCAGGCAGAACTCTGAGTTCAAGGCCAGCCTGATCTACAGAGTTCCAGGGCAGCCAAGGTTACATGAGAAATTCAGCCTCAAAAAAACAAAACAAAACAAAACCAAGAAGATTTATAGAACTGTGGTGGTTATTTATGGTTAGTTTTTTGTCAACCTGATACAAGTTAGAATTTTGAGAACAGAGAATGTCAACTGAGTAATGTCCCCATCAGACTGTACTATCTATAGGTAAGTCTGTGGGGGCATTTTCTTAACAGACTAATGTGGAAGGGCCCAGCAGGCCACTGTAAGTGATGCTGCCCCTGGGCAGAGGGGTACTGGAGTGAATAAGAAAGCAAACTGAACAAGTCAGGAGAGGCAAGCAGTAAGCAGTGCTCCTCCTTGGCCTCTGCATCAATTTCTGCCTTGACTTCCTGTCCTAAATTCCTTCATGGCGGTCTAGAAGCTGTAACAGGAAATAAACCCTCTCCTCCCCAAGCTGCTTTTGGTCATGGTCTGTATCACATCAATAGAAAGCAAACTAAAATGCAATGGGATTTTTCCCAAAAAAGACAACCCCTAGAATGAAGAGATGAACTTCTGAATTCTACCAGACCTTGAAGACACACCAATGCTCCTCAAAGTGTTCCATGAACCAGAAAGAGAACAAAATTAAATTTCAAAAGTCAGAGAAAATAATAAGGTAGGAATCTAGAGTTTGTAAAGTATCAGAAAGAGAAAAGTTTTTATCTTTTCCCTTTTTCTCTCTCTCTTTTTTTTCTTCCCCCCAAGACAGGGTTTCTGTGTAGCCCTGGGTGTTGACCAGGCTGGCCTTGAACTCACAGAGATGCTGCCTCTGCATGGGGAGTGCTGGGATTAAAGGTGTGCGCCACCACTGCTTAGCTTTTTTTGTTTGCTATTCAACTAATTTTATGAAACGAAACAGTAACAAAAGTCCCTTTTCTTGGCATGGTGGCAAATGCCTACTGGTGAAATTGCAATCTCAGCATTTAGGAGGCTCAGACAAGTTGGAGAGTTGAAAACCAGCCTACCTAAAACACAAGATTCAGCCTCAGAATACACACCCCCACACATCCCATGTAACCTGCACATACTAATTAAGAATTTCCTATGCCCAGCGTAGCCTAAGGCGCTGCCTGCCACAATTACCTTGGTTGTACACGTAGCGCGCAGTGGCTCGACAAGCCGGTCCAGCCTTTGCAGTACTGCACTTGGACAAAGGGTAGACAGTCGCACCAACATTAAAAATGTTAGCATCTATAAGGAAGAAAAAAGATACAATGTTTTCCTGACAAAAATCCACATTCTGACACCTTTTAAATAGAAAAATGATTAGTATGCAAATTAGAGCATCATCGTAATTTAATCTGCCACTCAAATCAGGTCATTGCAAATCTTACTAAGGTGAATGCTAGGGAAACATCGGCTTCCATGTGGGTCCTACAATACAAAACTAAAAACTGTTTTTCAGTTGGGACTGCACAGCAGAATCACCTGGGCGGACGCATTAGAACACCCATTCCTCAGCCCCACAGAGTGACAGAGTTATGTCACCTGTCAGCAGGGAGGGGACTCGGACTTCTGAAAAAGTCACGCAATGTAAACTAAAATTCACTGGATTAGAAATGTGCTCAACGAAAGCAAAACTATAGACATTTCCACTTTCTCAGTGGAGTTCGGGAGGGCAGATGTTCTTCAAGGGAGTCCATACAAAACCTGGAAAATCTCTACTAAAACATTCTTTCTCCCTTGGACTATGAATGCCTATGACTGCATCGTGAAAGCTGGAATTCTGGTACCTTGCATGGCTCAAGCTCAGCAGGCCAAAGGCCCTGTTAAAGAGTATCATGAAAAGGATACGATTCATTTACTTGATTGTCTTTTAAATCACTCATTTACTGACATATTGAAAGAGAAATAGGAAAGTAAGACACAGAAGCGAAATCCATGCTCTAAACCTAAGAAGCAATGTGACTCCTTCTAAGGCTCTGCAACTGCCGGGTCTGAATAAGACAGTCAGCCCAGCCTGAAACAGAGCCCAAGACACTTCATCAAGACACCGCTGGGAAAGAAAAGAAAGCTGTCGCTAGTTTCTCATTAGGACAGGCCTGAAACGTCAGTTGTACTCTCAGCAGTAAAATGTGTCTGGATGGAGGCAAAGAATATGGGTAAGCACTATTCATTAAGGGGGCCGGAAATATATTTCTCAAACATTTGGGGTCCACTTCTCTTCCTTCTTTAGTAAAAAAAGGTTTTGGATTTTTCTTGTAAATTAACTGATGGCACAATGTCTTTCTACATCTTCTGCACATACAGTTTATAAGGTCCTTACTAAAAATCTTGGTAGAGGGCTTAATTTTCCTTACTTACATACCCCTAGGTAAATTACAAGCATAAATGCTGTTGTACCCACGTCTATTAAACCGTTCTACAGACACTCACAGACACCTCACCTTAATATCAAGTCTATTAAGCCGTTCTACAGACACTCACAGACGCCTCACCTTAATATCAAGTCTATTAAACTGTTCTACAGACACTCACAGACACCTCACCTTAATATCAAGTCTATTAAGCCGTTCTACAGACACTCACAGACGCCTCACCTTAATATCATAATGGTCCTTCAACCCATCTTCAACGTGATTTAGAAACTCAAAGATGTCCAGTCTATCAAGACAGCTGTCGAGAAGTGTATACATGCACTCAAAAGCGGCTTTTCTGATGTCCAGACCGTCATCCACCGTGTGTTTGAAAGGACCCATTTCTACCTGTTACAACAAGAAGGAACATGCGAGCACGTGACAACTACAGAGAAGTACAAGGTAACTGATGTGACCTAACTCACTTACCTCTCGTATAAGCTCCTTCCTAACTTTTGTCTCATTGTAAAGATGCGGGAGAACAGAGTCCAGAAGATCCCGTATCAGCGATGGCTTGTTGTGGGCTGCAGAATTGAATGTGACCAAGGCTACTCTTCTTACGTTCAAATCTGGGTCTTCCAAAGTTTTTAGAAAATCACCTGAAAAATGTAAAAGAAACAACATACTTGTGGTAAGCTTAGAACACAAGCCACACAGCATTTTTTCTAAATTGACTTAGTGATTATGGGTCTCACTGCTATTTCTTCAATGCAAGTCAGAGAACCAGATACAAGATTATTTCAGCAGTATGGAGACAAAGCACTGTTAACAAATGTGTGTACATTTTTCATTGATAACGCACTCTTGGCACATAAAATGCAGAGGGCATATAGAGCAGTCCCTAAAGTTCCCCACTCACTACTCTTTATAAACAGATGAGTTGCTCAGAAGCAATGGAGCCAGTAACCAACAAACATACACCTGAGAACTCCTTACACTTCACTACACGCAGCAAGAAACGAAGCTCCTTGGTGCATAAGCTGGCTTTTTGGAGGCCATTAACGATGATGTAGGGGGAGGGGGCCTGGACCTGCCTCTACTGACTGTACCAGGCTCTGCTGACTCCCCATGGGAGACCTTACCTTGTTGGAGGAGGGGATGGGGGTGGGCTAGGGAGGGAAGGCGGAAAGGGTGGGAGGAGGGAGGAGAGGGGGATCTGTGATTGGTATGTAAAATGAATAAAATCCTTAATAAAAAAAGAAGCTAAGCTCACTATAGACTCAGCAGCAATACAATTCAAAGGACAGGAAATCAACTGCACGTCCTAATGTTTTCTGTGTCTTCAGGGAGAAACACAGGAACTACTAAGAGCACAGGAGCACCGTGAGGAAACCAAAACCTAACAGGACAAATGCCAAACACGCCGCTCCTTAGAAACAGATTTAAAGTCTGCTATGATGAAAAACGTGCAGAAAGAAATTACAATGTAAATCCTTAGGATCCCGCCCACACATGCGCTTCAGGTCATTTCCCCTATTAACTGCGAAGCTTTGGGCAGGTACTTCCAGTCAAGAGCCTTATTTCCCAGTCAAGCAATGCTTTCAGGGTCACCGAGAGGAGGAAAAGCATGCATCCTGTTGAGCAGTGTCTGGCAGACAGGGACTGAACAGGGAGTAATTTCCTCTAGATAATCCCAACTCTATCATCACCAATCTTTCAGAATAGGGAAATGAATTCAAATGACTCGAAACTGGATTATCAATTTCAAGTAGAGCAAACTGATAAAATGAGGGGGAACCACAGACTACAGGCACTGCATATTGTTAAAATAAATGCTGAGACACTGGAATCTTCTAGCAGGTCCCCCTCCCCCCACCGAGTCCTATCTTTCACAACACAAACATCTGAATATGTGTCTGTGACAACAAGAAGGGAATAGACGTCCCCCCCTAAACTATTTGTATCTGTATCTGATCTAACTCTGAACTAACTGGAGGCCCCTGTATGCAGTTCAAAGTGTTCACCACCCTGACCCCCTTTCCTGCACACGAAGATCCTGCTTAGCCATATCCCTGTCTCCTCCCTCGTGCCCCATCCCCATCCCCTGTCCTTAAGAAAACAGCAGACCGCACCCCGAGGGATTTGGATTGCTATTAGCATCAGGATAACTGACGGAAGACAAGAAAAGAGCAAAGCTGTCCAAGTCTACTTCCAGAAGCAACTCCTGTCTTAACAAAACCAGCAACAGCTCTGTTTCTCCTGGGCTTCCTCTCAACACTTCTGAAAATGAGCGCCTCTTCTTTTGTTCTTAGGTTCTCTTCACCTTATGTGGAACTGCCCCACGGAGCCTCTCAGAGCTGGAGGGTTCCAAGCAATGGAGGGTTCCATCAAAAATGGACGCTCTAACAACTCCGGTAAGATTCCTTTCTATTGGAGGAAACTTCTAACTGGTCAGCTAGATTCAACATTGATGTGCTTTATTCATTAAGACTATTTTATTAGGTCATCACCAAAGAATAGGATGACCAAGGAGGATAACTATGAAGACATGCGGCCATATTTAGCCACCTCCATGCTGAGCAAATCATGCGGTAGTTCTTTTTGATAAAGAAATGCCTATATAAATTTAACTGCTCAACCTGTAAAACCATACCTTATGAATGATCTTTGTAATGGAACAATTACCTTGGTGCATTTTACCTCCTCAGTAATAAGAAGGTTCACAGTGCTGGTCTTAGTTACTGAAGTAACAGTACCATGACAAAACTGTACTTTCCCACTCACCTATGCAGTTCTTTAGTAGGGGATCAATGGGCTGAGGATGATCAGAAATAGTAAACTTCACAGCTGTAACCACTGAGCTTCGGGCATATGAAGACCCTAATTAAAAACAAAATGCAAGTCTATTGGGTATGCATTCCACTAATGTTCATGAATGACATTTTAAAACCGTATCACAAACTTCGTAAAACTCATCATTGTCCCTAAAGACTGTCTTCTAGCTCTTGGGATACTAAATCAGGAGTTTTCTTATCTTAAAGAAACAATCTTACTAGATTTTACAAGAAAGCTTGTCTTCTATGAAGGAGGAATCCAGGGAACCAGCAACGAGGGACCGAGCCCTTACCAAAGGGGCTGGTTAAATCTATGAAGGGACTGGTTCAGTCTGTAAACAGTTTATCAAATTGTTAAACTAAACAACATTTTAGCCGGGCGGTGGTGGCACACGCCTTAATCCCAGCACTCGGGAGGCAGAGCCAGGAGGATCTCTGTGAGTTTGAGGCCAGCCTGGGCTACCAAGTGAGCTCCAGGAAAGGCGCAAAGCTACGCAGAGAAACCCTGTCTCGAAAAACCAAACCAAACCAAAACCAAAACAAAAACAAAATTTTAAGAATGAACAGCATTATCGCCTATTTATTCTAACCAGTAAACAATGATAAATCAAAAATCTTCTTTATTTCTTGCATTTAAATTCAATAATTTCTGCAATTTTAATATAGTAAGTACTACCAAGGACTTCTTTTTAAATTCAAGACCTGTCTTCTCTGTATTTTAATCCAAAAAATAACAATAAAATGTAGTCAGCATAAAGAACTAGATCACACTACTTAAGAACTACCCAATCAGGCTTTATCCTTCTCAGAAACAGTCCCTTGAATATCACTTCACATTACAACACATGGCATACATACATCACATACGTGACTTTAACACACTAAAATAAAAAAGCAGATGGTTTTAGTTCCTCAATGGGCATCTTTCAAGGCAAATGAGTCAACAAACTTAGAGGTAAGGACATCTGGACACCCCTAGATACCCACCTGATATCAAATACCCTTTAAGCCGAGGAAGGAGCGTTTCAGGATCTATAAGAGTGAGCTTCCCTAGACATTCAGCGACAACGTTTCTGGTGCCTTCCTCTGCACACTCACAGTGCTTTAGCAGCAAGGCCCAGATGTTCTCGACATACGGCTTAAGGCCTGCCACGGATGCAGAGCTAATGATCTCTTTCAAGGAATGAAGCAGAAGGTATTGCCTCTTGGGCTGACTGGTTATTTCTTGTAGTACAAATGGCAGATACTCAGGAAGGTTGCCTACACTAATGCTGCCTAATGCGTAGGATGCAGCTGATTTCACTTCTTCACTAGGAGATGAGAAAGCCTCTAAAATTACAGATTTCAATTCCAACTGCCCACTTAAGTCAATATGATGTCCAACTTCTCCAAGAGAAAGGAGTGCTAAGAGACGAATGGAATCTGTCGACCTTGAATTCTTGACATCCTGAATAAACTGACCGACTACAGCAGGTCCCTCTTTAGGGCATGCTCGGGTAAGGGCAGCTACACATTTGGCAATGGAATAGTAAGACTGCTTATGAGTCAGAGCTGTGCTCTGGGAGTAAACTGGACCAGTCAGCATGCGCAACAAATCCATGTAGCCTAGGTTGTTCGTTCCGGTGACAACCAGGGCTTGGAAAAAGTCTAGCATGGCACTAAGAGCGCCGCCCTGCAGTAGAGGCGATCTCACAAGTCCGATCAGTTCATTGAGTATGGATCCACTTATCTTTGAAAGGGAAGAGGGATAGACTTTTGCCAGGGTGGTCAGAAAGCTGATAGCCATCTGCGAAACATGCATATCACTTTCGCTGATGAGAGGAGGGAGCTCGTCTAGGACCGCGTCAATCATGGCGCTCGTCAAGCTGTCACTATAGTTCTTAATTAGAATATCCAGGGCCGAAAGGGTCCCCAGTTTCAAAGCTCTCTGGTTTTTCCTGAGAAATGAGGCAAGGATGGGCACTCCTTCTCCCAGGACAGGCCTCAAGTCTATCTTCAGAGGTGACCCGGCAATCAGTGTCAACGCTTTCACTGTAGTTAGCCGGGTAATTTCATTCTTGAGTCTCTCCAAGAAGATCTGAAGTGTATTGGATAAGTCAGGCCCCAAGTTGTCTCCAAGGTTGCAAATAATTTGTCCCATACAGGAGATAGCCCTTTCCTTGACTTCCTGGTCAATGTCAGCTGCTTTTAACCGCTTAATTGTACAGGTAAACAGATCTTTGATGTAAGGGGTTGCATCAAAGGAGGAAGGCTGATCTAAGGGGCGGATCACTTTGACAAGCTGCTGAGTGACGAGAAGGGCTTCTGAGGTGATCTTGTAAAATGGGTCTCCAACACAAGCCACCACCGGGGGGACCAACGCCTGCACGTGAGGGTGGAACACTTGAGGGGAGTGGTTACAGAGGATTACGTAGAGGCACGACAGCGCATCAATCTTCAGATTCGATGAGCTGGACTTATCATTCAGTGAGAAAATGATTCCTGAAAAGCCAACAAAAGCATCTCATCACTTCCATGCAGTTCTCAAATAAGGAAAAATCAGCCCCTGAAAGAGTGTTACAATTTTCATCTGCATACAACCTCTACAACGGCAGGTGCTTTACAATCTCTGTATAGAAAATACTAACCCCCCTTTACTTACAGGGGGATAACTTCATATGCTCAAATGGTCACAATTAAAATGTTGTAGGTCCACATTGTCACAAACTTCCCTTTTAAGCAAAAACAATCCTTCAAGCTTATGTAAGTGCAAAAATAAAAAGTGCTTAAGAAGTACCCCCAAGAGACTGTCCCCTACATACCTGGTACAAGCACAGGAATGTGCTGTGTTAGTGCCCCAGGTAATACATTCACCAGTTCAGTTAACATGTTAAAACAACACTGTCGGGTCTTGACACTTTTTTCTTTCATCTGTTTGTGCAGAGCTTTAACGATGTTGGGAACCTGCAATTGTCACAATATCATCAGCCAGTTGAGCCAAAGGTACTTCCTCCATATACTTAATATGACTTACAGGACAAAGAATCTTGTTTGTCACATTTCCAGTTCAGCTCTCCAATACTGCGAAGGCAGACACTATTATATAGGAACCAAGTTTAAACGTATTCATGCACTGTACATACTGTATTATAACTATATCTGCTCGATAGCATCAATGAACTGGAGAAAAGCTTCCTAACAAGCAACAAGTCTTCAATGACTTCAATCACTTCCAACCAAAGATTTAAGCATACAATTTGTAAATAGAAAAATACCAGCAAGGAAATTATGGAAAACTACCCATCAAATTGGTGTTTTCTCTCTTTTTTAGTTTGCTATTACAATAAAAGACATTGTAGCCGGGCGGTGGTGGCACACGCCTTTAATCCCAGCACTCGGGAGGCAGAGCCAGGCGGATCTCTGTGAGTTCGAAGCCAGCCTGGGCTACCAAGTGAGTTCCAGGAAAAGGCTCAAAGCTACACAGAGAAAGCCTGTCTCGAAAAACCAAAAAAAAAAAAAAAAAAAAAAAGACATTGCACCTCAAGGGTACAAGGAGCAGGGGTAAACTTCAGAGACATCTGATCTAAACTTTCTAATGTTTAGTGAACTTCAGTGTAGTCTTGACTGACAAGTCATGGATGCAAGACAGGGATCTCCCCCCAAAAGAGATTAAAACACCCTCTCCCTTACACAGACAAATCTCATATATAAAAATGATCTCAGAAATAAAGGCAATAGAGATTCTCAGAATTCCTGAGAATTCATGGTTCTACTAAACAATTTCTCTATGCTATCTGTCTGTCTACTTATCGATTATCCATCCATCTATTCATCCTTCATCTATTTTAATTAATCTCCATTCACTTGTATTAACAAGCTCAGCTCAAAATGTATTTGCATTATTTAAAAATAAGGCAGACAGCCAGACGGCGCTGGCACACACCTTTAATCCCAGCACTTGGGAGGCAGAGGCAGGCAGACAGATCTCTCTAAAATACAGATGGAACTACAAGGCATGGCGGATGATGCCTGTCATCTTAGCACTTGGGGCAGAGGCAAAAGGACTCCCAAGAGTGCGGGTCAGCTTGGGCCCAACTCAGAAACAAAGCAAAACCACAAAAATGCCTACAGCTGCGACAGCAATTACATATAGACAGGAGAACGCCTAGTATGAACAAACATTCAGTAAATGGGAGTGATGGTGACTTCATGTTCAGGGCCTTAGGGAAACCAATTACTATGTAGTGAACCAGACACTAAAATACACTGGTAATTTCATCCATCAGAACCCTAGGGACTTACAAAGGATTAAAAGCAAGGCTTAATAAAAATGACTAACTTGTCTAAGATCACACAAATTATGAGTGAAGCTGGCTATATGATCCCACAGCTTTGATTTCTCCACTAATATCACAGATAATTTCCTGAATCTTAGGGTATATTTAAGTTACAATCAATGGTTTACAAGTCACTGAGCACCCATTACCTTTGTCCTTCTCTAAGTCATCTCGGCATTCCCGTTTCCCTTAAGAACAACTGTAAAGCACCACTGTCAATGACTTTCAGAGCACACACTTACTGACCTGACTCTGAAGCATTGTTAAGGGTGTTTCTCCCTGTTCCATTGCATCAGGGTCACACAGCCAACTCTGCACAGGACGAGTTTGCTTCAAAAGAGAAAGGTACGCATGAAAAACATCTGCCTTTACATTCTCTTCGCGCTCTTTAAATCTGGATATCAGTGCAGGAGAGACGGTCTTGTAGAACTCTGGAAGCATTTCGTGCCTTGTGCTAACTACGGCATCCAGGCACTTAGCAGCTGCGCGTCTCACTTTCCAGCTCATGTCATCATCATCACTGTATTCATCATCACTCCCTAAAGGGAAGTTTTAATGTTGAACAGGCTATTAATGGTAGAGAAATACATAATCTAATACAGAACGTGAACTGCTATTGCAAGGAAGACAATTAGCTCATCTAGCTTGAACATCTACAGCAAAAGGTGGCTTTAAACAACCATGCCTGTTTCAATCTGCTAAGCACTGTCTTCTTACGAAGGTGACAAACAGTGGCTTACAACCTTTTCATCAATACAAGTGAATGCTTAGAAACTCAGAAATTTCTCAGTCTTTGAACCAAATTAAAGACTCAATAGGAGAAACAAAAAAACAATGGACATTTATAAGATGAACTATGAAACAGATTTGGCTACAGATGTAGTAAAAAACAAAACAAAACAGTTATGAATAACTTTCAGCAAGAAGAATCCTGTTACTGGTTTTGTACATAGCTTTTCACTGAGCCTCTTGTGTGCTATCAGAACAAAGACATGTTTTCAACTTTTGAACAATTCGCCTGAAGACACTGCTGGACATCTATCTTTCATAAGAAAATTGAACCAAATACTGCTAAAATACAAGGCATCACATTCATTTAACAATACCTACTTAAAAATTACAAGGTAGCACCAAGATAAGACTTAATTTAACAAGAAAATAAACCAAATTCTTTCTTTCGTCAACACATCATGAAAACTGCATCCTAGAAACGTTTAATAGAAAATTAACAAATGTCTTAATCACCGAAATTGCAACACCATGGTTGAGTAATATTTCTAATTTTAAAGCAGCTGAAGGACTTGGGTTATTTAGCATGATAAACACCAAATCAAAACCTGTAACATACACTGAATTCCTAAGGTTTCTCTTTGTTAATATAACACATTCACCAAGTGACCACTATGGGTCTAGCATTATCCTAGACACTACACTGAAAGCACAGCAATCCAGGTTACATTTGCTAGTCTTCAGGAAGTTTACATTCTAATAGGTGGATGATAATCAATTACAATATGCATGAAAATGATTAAGTGTGCTAAAGTAAAAACGCTGAAGGGGTATAAAGTTATGCCAAGTGAGAGAAAGTTCTGGGGTGTGAGGGATGAAGGAGTTAGTCTAAGATGGAAGAGACTAAAGAAGAAGCAGGGGTTGGAGAAAGGGTATGGATATTTTAGTTAAGCAATCAGTAACATCAATTAAACAATCATGTATGAACCCAGATTTACAGGAAAGGTATAGAGCTGAGCTAATTAATAGATACTAAATTCAGAAGACTTAGGTGAGACCCAAAGGAAAATTAAGAGTATTACAGCTAAGTTCAAAGATTTAGCCCAGGCATATCCTTATTTAGTGGTTAGAGATGAGTAAGAACCAGAACAGAAGACAGACAGAAGTGTGATATCTTGGTCCCTGGATGCTAAATAAGAGAGTGTAATAAACATTTTCAAGCATTTATAATCTTGCCCATTACTGGAAATGCATTCAAGACAGATGAGGAAAAAATGGACTGAATAGCACTTGTGTGAGGGAAGAAAGCTGCTGTAGAGAGAAAATGGGGCAGTACCTGCTAGAGGACTAGATGGGTTAAACCACAGATTTTATATAAGAAAGATTTTATATAAAAAGTTATCGCATAAATTCACACAATCAAACTAAAAACTAAGCATGACAGAAAACCTACTAACCCATGTACTTAAGTCACAGAAATGTTTACATTATTCATAAACATTAAACAGGGTCTTAAATAATAGTTAGCATTTTTGAATACCAACCAAACTACCCTGAATATGTATGTATTTCGATTCATTTTTTAAACACAATGACTCATCTTGCACAAACGCTTTGTAAAAAAAAGTATAGACACTGGACTGGGTATATAAAGAAAAGAGTTGTTATCCACCACTCTGCTTAAGACTGCAGGCTTGAGCATGAGAAAAAAAGCACTATTCTAAGAAACAAAACTATGGTACAATCTGCAGTTATGCGTCATCTTTCCACCTCTAACCCTGGCTTCTTCTATGAAGTAACAGCTAGATTGCATCTCTATAACTTGAGATACCTTGATCGTCATCATCTCCACCATCAGCATCCATAGCATTTTCATCTTCATCTTCATCATCATAATTGTAATTTGGATCATAGGTAAGATACTTTAGACAAATGTTTATAATGGTAGAAACATGAGGATAAACTTCCTTAGGGCATCTAAATATAAAGACAAGAGCTGCTTTGAAACACACAAAAAACTAGACTTTTCTTCTTGCTTCAGTTATTAGCAATAACACCAAAGTGGTTTCTGACCACTTAAATTTTTGTCCCATGGTGTCACAAGATATTTCCCTTTCAAATGATATTTAGTTTTAGGATGTGTGTCCCCACACAAGTAACTACATGGTTCAAGTGGGAGCAGTAGTACTGAGATCTTTAAGTCATTAGCACTTGTAAAATGGTTAGTGAACATTCATTTAGCATGGTTTTGTCTCACTGATGCTAATTATCAATAAAAATACACATAGGCCCATAGAGTCAAAATTAAAGGAGCAATTTGTGGTTCTTAATAAAATGAATCTAAACATTCCCAATTTTCAAAATGTGACATGGAGGCTGGAGGCTCACTCCTGCCTATAGTTCCTGGGGACCTGATACTTTCTTGTGGCTTCCATGAGTATCTACCACACACATGGTATAGGCATGCATGCAACCCAAACACCCATGCACATTATACCAGTAATGATAAAATATTTTAAATTGGCATTAACTATAAAGGTGCTCCCTAAATCATGAGGTAAAAGGGCAAAGTCCAGACCAAAAGCAGTTAGGATCAAGACCCCATCCAAACAGACTCTATTAGCCAAAGGCAAATGTTCAGCTAATACTGCCTTCACACAATTTTTATTAAGATTTATAAAGAAAATCAGAGTCCGTGTTTCCAAATTGTTGTACCTGTATTGGCAAAACAGGTACGTCAAGTCTAACACACAAAGGTTGAAAACATGCTATCTTCTGTGCTTCTCTTTGGAAAATCCACTGTGACTCTGCAGACAAGACTATATTACATGGCATTCCCCTTGTCTGAGCATTCTAAGTTCACAATGTTACACACTTTCAAAGTAAATAGTAAGATAGCATTTGTTACAAATATTCTATTAGCAATCAATCACTACTTAATGAAAAATTAGATAAAATACATCTGAAATCCTGTTATTTCTCTTCATTTACCTAATCTTAATTATTCCAATCTTAAGGAAAAACTTTTCTAAATACAAAGATTTAATAAAAAAATACAGAGAGCTTAAAAACTCACCTTCTCACAAATGATTCAAAAGCTTGAATGCAGTATTCTCTTAATTCATCATCATCTACATTACAAAATTTTACCACCAAAGGAATTATCTTCTCAAGGTATTCACCTAAGAAAAGCATATTGCTTCTTAAAACCACACACGTAAATATTTAAAAACACTTTCTGGGGGACGGACAGCCAGTGAGAGGGCTCAGAGGGTAAGGCACCTGCTGCACAAGCCTTGATCAGGTTCAATTCCCCAAACCCGTGTACAGATGGAAGGAGAGAACTGATTCCAGATTTGCTCTCTGATCTCACATGCACGTTGAGTCACACATACATCATGCACAAACAACATACAGACAATTGAAGAAAAGAGACAACTTTGAAACATTTTTAAAATGTCTTACCTATTCTATGGCCAGCTTGCCTACTAATAGCAGCAATACATTGGATGTAGGTCCTTGTTGTTGACATAGAGTCATTTTTGGACAACTCTGACAACAGGTGTTCAATAAGGTCTACAAAAACTATATTCCCACAGCTCATAACTAGATGGCCAAGAGCAATAATGGTTCTTTTCCTCACTGCAAGTCTAGGACTCGTCAGCTGGGGGAGTAGACAGGTCAGAATTGATGGATGGAAATTTACAAGAAGTCCTCCTTGCCTTAAAAAAAAGGAAGGAAAGAAAGAAAAACAGAAAGAAAACAAGTGAATTCAACATGCCAGAGCACAACTAATATCTAGACTCTAAACTCAATGTTCCTATTTAGGGTACAAATTAGGTTGAGACAAAGTGGAAGTCAGAATAAAGAAAAGCTGACCTTCACTGCACCTATTAATGCAAGTGAAAACCCTACGCTAACCATCTCCGGAGACCAACTCCTGGAAGTGAGGCCAGTGGCACCCACTAGGCTGCCAAAGCACCAAACCAAACAAAAAGCACAATGACCTTGTCACTTCCCTCCTTCCAAGACTTCAAAGTGTTTATCTACTTAGTCTTGTTTTTTTGAGTACTTGCAACATCAAAAACCCAGATGTCTCTTCATCCTTCTCCCTCTTTTCTCTGTCCATCTCACGCTCAGTTTATTTGGATCATTTGCTCCCAAAATTGTGTTTCCCAATCCCTCAACAGGCACAGTTAGCCAACAGTATTCATACCATCATGTGCCAACAGTGCCAGTGAGCACATCACATGGGACAATGGGTTATCACTGCTTATCAATTAAGTGGAGATTTCTACCCACCACAGCAGGACCCTAATCCAGGACCTCCTACTGCCTTTGTATTTACTCCCTATCATGGAAAATCAGATTATAACAACTCGGCTTCAACATTCTGACATGTGTGCATTCTACACCTTAGCACATTTAATCACCCAAGTGCCGCCTAGTCTTCAAACTCAATGATGATTTCCATAAAAAGCTTCATTGAACACAGTCCCGCTTCGTCTCGACTCCCTATGGCCTTTCAGCCATCCCCCTTCTTATCTCCTCGAGTAAAAGCATAAATGCTCTGTGTGACAGGGTAATAATACCCTTATTACATACAGTTAATATACACACAATTTTCTGTATCAAAACCCTCAACTATTTTTATACTAAACAAAATTCATTACAAATAGTAGTCACAAATAATGAAGAACTAATAATTATTAGAAACAGGACACACTGAGACTGAAATGCCCTTTAAGGTTTATTTTCTTAGGACTTGGCTTATTTCTTCCAAAGCCTGCCTGCCACAGCAAGTAGGAAAGCCACCAATGAGTGAAATCCAACTCCCACCCCACAAACATGCAGTGGAAACATGGTTCTGAGAGGTTATTGTTTAACTGCAGACTAGTGACTTCCACTAAAACATCTCCTCACTTAAGCAGATTACTGAACATGAACACAATTATAAAACATAAGCTGCTAAAAAATGTTCAATCACAAACGAGATTTTTCAGAATCACAAAATATCTGTGACACATAAGAATAGCTTACATTTCCTTTACCCCCAACCACAGAAATCTAGGCCAAGTTTCATCTATTTCTAACACACGTAATACAAATAAACAGTGGGCACACTTACCTGCTCAGCATATCTGCCATAATATCCAAGGCCTCAAGCTGGACAGAGACATCTTCCTGCTTTGCTATTGCGCTGGTCAGGCGTCCAGTAATCTTCTTACACACATTAGCAGCTAGTGCGGAGCCTGTAAGGGGAGGAAAGAAAAAGTTCAAATATGACACGTTCTATCTAATAGCCGCACTGCTTACCAAATATCCAACAGACTAAACTTGTTCAAGACACTCTAAGAGATCTTTGCTAAGCAAGAAAATGTTACAAACAAAACAAAACAAAAAACCTTATTAGACCTAACCAAGAAATAGCAACTGTCAAAGGGTCGCCATTCACATTTTGCCGGGCAACTACTGAATGCTGGCTAGAAGTCTGTAGTGCGTGTGGCCAGCAAATGCCTAGATCGAAATGCATCAAGGGTTTTCTGTTCTTGAACTTCTTCTAGCAACAGCCTTTGTGTTCTGTTGTTTGTACTCCGATGTTTAAACACTTTCTTAAAGAAAAGACAAAAACGGCTGGAGAGATGGCTCAGCCGTTCAAGGCTAGGCTCACAACCAAAATATAGGAAAAAACAAACACAAAATCAGGTCTAAGCCCCAATGTAGTTATTTCACACCAAATGGAGATTGTGCGCGCGCACACACACACACACACACACCACCCCCTCTCTTTAAAGTAGGTGATGTGTTACTGATAAATGCCCGGAAAAGGGACCAGGTAACTCACTGTGAAAGTTAGAATCTCAATGGGCAAAAAGAAATCTTGTTAAAACCAGCCAAATGCGACAGAGAGAAAACCATGAAGACAGGTAAGACAATTCTATGGCGCGTCCTTGGGAACCGACAGACTACTGGCTGCTGAAGGACGGTGAAGCAATCATGGTATGCTCTGGCAGACGAGCACCCACTTAAGATGGAAAGAATTGCTTTCCTTCTTGTGGTGCGAGGGATGGAACCCAGGGCCCGTACATGGTAGGCATGCTTTACCACTGAACCACATTCAGAGCCGCCCAAAAGGGTTTAATCTTTGCACAGCCAGGACGAAAACAAACTGTGGGTGCTAACTTCATCTCTGTAAATTTCAACTGCACGATGTCTAGACTCACTGAAGCGGCTCAGAGAGCACTGATTGGGACAAGTAGAGTGAATTACTAGTAGTCACAAAATGTACACTAGATTACCAATCTAAAATCTTCCCACATATAATTCCCATTTGCAGAAGAAACAACAGCTTTCAGGCTTCTAATTTAAACCCCAGTACTGCAATCAAAGCCAACTACATACTCATATTACCTAGATAATTCTTGCAGAGGCCAATAGCTAATTACCAAATCCATTGATTATTAAATTATCAATTAACCGAAAAGGGCTCAAACATAAAAAGCTACTAGTAAAAACTATTTCATAGCTATGCCTTAACTTTTAAAAATTTTACACAGTAAGCTTTGATGAAAAACTAAATCAAACTTGGTACCACACACTAACGAGCAGTCGCTTGCTCTCTGGTTATCATCGTCCCCACACTGCAGAGCTGCACACAGTGCTCGCTCGCTCTCTGGTTATCCTCGTTCCCACACTGCAGCGCTGCACACAGTGCTCTCGCCTGCAGAACATGCAGCACTCTTACAACCCTGCTTCAACCTAACTATCCTGCAGAACTGACTCGGCATATGTAAATCTCATTTACTCCCAAGTTACACTTGTGTTTGAGAGAAATACAGCTTCCAATCACCCCTCTCTGCCTTGGACCGCAGAGGGAGGGTAATCTCCATAGAAAGAAAAGACGACAACGCGTTCTTGCTTACCACTGGACGCCGGAGGAAGTTCTCCAATTACCGTTTTTAGGCCAATACTGGAAATATCCCGAAGCTGCTCCTTGTCAGAAAGCATGTTTGTGCAGAGGGTGTCGACGATCGTCTCCACTTGGTACTCTTTTACTTTACTCACTAAAGGGCCAAGACTGCAACAGAGAAAGAAGTTCTTTTAACATCCAGATAAACACCAAAATAAACAGAAAAACTAAGTAGAAACATAAATCTTGCCTAGTAACTGTCAATTTTAACCATGGATGCCTATATCATAAATGATATATAATTAAGGATGAAGGGGGACTAACTGATAGGTTCCTTGTAGTTGGCCTCCAATTTCCCCCAATGATTTCCAACAGAGTTACAAGAAACTGAAGATGATTTCCATCCTGCATGCTAACCCTCCAAGCACACAAAAACAAGCAAACAAAGCTTTAGTAGTCAGGTGCTGCTCCCAACAAGATTCACCTACAAGAAAGGCTCCGTACAATGTTACACTGTCAACATAGGGCCTTTCTTGTTACGGTTCTAGTCTCTTCTAATCTCCTGTCGGATTTAAAAGCACACTGAAAACCACTAGTCCTACTGTGCGCTCCCAAAGCACACTGCACATCTTCTGTTTGGTACTGGTGTGTTACTCCTGCTGGGTGAGCCCTTCCACGAGGATAAAGTCCTTGCTGTGTGTCCTGCCCAAACAATGGGGCACACAGCAGACATGTTCGGTATATGAATATTCATCAGGAAACCACTTTTAGTCAAGATTCCTGATGAAGAAGGCATGGGCCCTAAAATAGAGGATTTACTACCAAGCTTATGAGGTAAGAAACTCATGTAACTATGAAATATAAAAAGGCACTAACAATTTTACAGTTTCCTAAAACTTTCACATTCAGTTTTATTGGCAGACTTATAAGTGTGATTTTTTTTGGTAGTAGGTTTGAAGAGATAGTTAGGAAAGAAGACTATTTCAATAGCTCCTACTTAGGTAAGCAACCCCAATCAATACAAGGGTCACCAAAGTCATGAGACTTAGTGGGGGTAGGATGTTACAATATATACAAGAAGAAAGAAAAAAGAAAAAAAAAGACCACCATTTCCAATGGAGAGGTTAAGACCAGAAATTACAAGAGACCGAATGTATAAGGGAAGAAATGAGTGAAAAGGAGGCCGAAGAGACGGCTCAGCTAGTCGAGTGCTTTCCATATGTACACACACACACACACCACAAACATATACAATAAATTATATCCTCAAAAATAGTAAAGAGTACTATTTTGTATTTTTTAAATTTTTCTTTAATGTTTGAGGTTTAAAAAAAATAATTTCCATAGACAGTTTTGTGTTCAATTTGTTGTGGAAGCACATGTCACATGGTCTCTGGTTAATCACTTGTGTACTGATAAAAACAGTAGAATCCAAGGAGGAAACAAGTCCTCAACAGCATTCAGTGACAGCATGAACCTCAGGTAATGGACCACTCCAAGGACCACTGCTTAAGCAACCTAAAGGAGCGGGGTGGGTGGGAATCAAACAGACGACAAGCAAAGCCACTTCTCCAGATCCAACTGCAGCAGCATTTACAAGACATGAACAGACTCCTGTACTGTGAAGCAATCAAGCATTAGTTAGAGCAATTACAACTGTGTATGCCCCATCACTGATAAAGATGGCGCCCCAGAACCCTCTTTTCAACAAAGGCCTTGACTTTGCTTCCATCTTTGCTGGGCAAGTATGCACAGGCAAGCAGTAAGTTAAGAATCCCCTCACTCACGTCTCCTCCTGTGTCATGTCCCATCTCCTAATGTCCCCCTCTGCTTTCTGGCTCTACTCCCCAATTGGCCTTTTTAGTCACCGGTGAATCCAATCTCTCTCCCTACTGCAATAATCGCACACTTATCAAAACCAAGTGGCCAGTTTGAGTAAAGGCTTCCTTATCATTTAAACAAGTCTCAGTCATTTCCCCTTTAACAGCATAGACTTTTAAATGCATGCATAGAAGATCGATGTTACTAAGAAGAAATGGCAAAACAGTATCACAGAAATCTTAAGATCCCTCTCAGTCAATAGATTATTCAAACCAAACACCAGAGAAGATCTATCTCCAATACCCAAAAAATAATAACCAGGACTTAAAGAGAGATTCACACTGAAGTGACTGTTATGTACAAAGCTCCAAGGATTTAACAAAAATTAATGTAATGAACAGATATGAGAAGCCGTGGTTCATAGTTGAAAGACAGAACACTAGTAGTACGTGGGTTCTTCTCAAACATTCCTCCAGCTTTGCCATAATTACACCTGCAGCTGAACATGCTGACATTTTAAATATAGAAATTGACAGTGATTAAAATAAGGGCTTTTAAAGAACAATATAGTCCCAAGATAGGGGGAAAAAAATCAAGCTAGACAATGTAAGCCACATTACTTCGGACTTACTACACATCAAGTATTTGACAACATCTGTAGACATCTATCACTGACATCTGGAAAGCAGAAGAGATACTGGCAGACAATGAAAACGGGCAGGGATGCTGCTCTGCAGACAGAATAGCTCCTCCACTTGATTTAGACTGATCAGGTCTAAACTCTTAGCAGGACCAGAGTGGAAAAGCCCGGAACAATGACAATATAATAGTGTTGTTAAGGACAGACAGATGGGTCGATAGAGCACAAAAGTCTAAAACACACACTTTCATACTCATTGATTTTTCTTTTTCAAAGATGTCAGGTAAATTCTGAATTCAGTCCACTGGGGGAAAGGAAGATCTTTTCAATGCACAGTGCTGCAACAGCTACCCATCCATCTGGGAAGAAGCGGAACAGCTCTGATCTTACATTTTTCATAAAGTTAGTTCCACACAGTTCACAGAACTAAAAATAAAAATGAAAACTACACCCAGTAGGAAATCTTTGTAAACTAAATCAAACATTTCTTAGGACATGAAAAAATAACTACAAAATAACTTACAAAAACACTTGGTAAGTTAAATCAAACTTAAAAATCAAAATTAACCACAAGTCATCAAATGAGAAGATAATTACAAAATAAATATGTCAATGGATTGATATGAAAACATACTTTAAAAACCCTACAACTTGATAATAAAGATGAATCCAATTCTAAAAGCTAGAAAAGTCCATAACCCAGCCAAGAGCCACACTCTGGCCAGAACACATCATGTGAAACAGCTCCTAGAACAAGGCTCTCCAAATCACCCCAGTAAAGCTCATGAACTCAGAGACTGAAGCGGCAGTCACAGGGCCTGCACGGGGCTGTACCAGGTCTTCTGCACATAGATTATAGCTTTCAGTTGAGCACTTTAAAAAAATTTTTTATCTTTAAATTTTTTTTTGTTTGTTTTGTTTTTCAAGACAGGGTTTCTCTGTGTAGTTTTGGTACCTGTCCTGGATCTTGCTTTGTAGATCAGGCTGGTCTCGAACTCAGAGATCCACCTTGCTCTAACTCCTGAGTGCTGGGATTAATGGCGTGCGACACCACCACCTGGCTCAGTTTAGTACTTTTATGGGACTCCTGAATGTGTAAATGAGTGGGTCTCAGATTCTCATGCCTTTTCCTGGGGCTCTGTTTCCTGGCTTGTCTAAGATGTTTTTGTTTATTATTACATGTATTTGTTAAGTAAAATAAAATATTTTAAAAAATACCAGCATTAAAAGAAAACCCTTTCGCTTTTTTGACAAACAGAGTACATAAACAGCTGTGAGAAATCACAAATACTAAAATGACCACAAAGACCAGCTGCAGGAGGTGCATGGGTGTGAGAGGCTAATGTTCGGTCTAATAATAGGCATAGCCAAGAAACCATTTACCGATGTACACATATGTTTAGTGAACAATTCCTGTGCTACTGGCAGAACCGTGGACTCCTTTATGACCCCGTCTGTCTTATGTCACTTCTCCTTTACCACTGCGTTTCCTAAGGACAAGGGGGTTTTGCTACCCTGTTATGAAGACTCCATTCTGAGCCTTCTTTTTCCATTTTCTTCTTGCAGTGGAAATACCCCACAGCTTTACCTTTATCAAAAGAAGGACACTCCACTTGGACATCTTCTAACCACACAGAAAGATTCTTACTATTTAGTCCTGATCATGACCTTTGTCCTTGCCAATGATGGCTGATCTTTTGAACTTGACAGAAGAAAGAAGTAACCTCAACTGAAGGTTCATCAGATTAGCCAGTGGGTAGGTCTATGGGGCATTTTCTTGACTGTCTAAGCAGATTGGCCTGGGCTGACTAGGAAAAGGAGCTGGATGTGACCCTGAGAGAAAGCCAGTTAATTAGCTTTTGTCTAGTTTCTACCTCAAACTCCTGCCTTGAGTTCCTCTTTTGGTTCTGCTCCATGATGGACTACAACCTATAAGATGAAATAAAATCCTTCCTAAGTTGCCTTTGGCTAGTGACTTATCGATGTAACAGAAAAGCTAACTGGAACAGTCATATCTGCTTGTATCCTAAGTCCTTTAGAAATATAATATAAAAGTTTCTTCCCCATCTTTTAATAGTGCTAGGGATCAACTAGTAACTCACACATGCTAAGCAAGAACTCGACCATCAAGGTGCACCTTTAGCTCCCCAATCTCTTTCATTATAAATGCAAAAACATAAAAGAGATCATTAAAAGAGCTAAAGATTCACAGACTTGGTGGCACACACCTTTAATCCCAGCAGAGGCTGGCAGATATCCAGGTTTGAGGACAGCCTGGTCTACAGAGAAGAGTTCCAGGACAGCCAGGGCTACACAAAGAAAACCTATCTTGAAAAACAAAACAAAACGAACAAAAAAAGATCAAAAGATTCCTGTACAAATATTCGTCCATTTTATTCTACTTAAAATATCCTTCCACTATGTGTGAGAGTGCATGAGAGAAAATGGGGGACCAACTGTGGGAACTGGAGACTGCATTCAAATCTTCAAGCTTGGCGGCAAGCGCCTGGACCTGCTGAGCCAAATCACCAGGGATACAGCACTTGTTACAGACCTGTTTTATTTTAAACTTGTAAAGGTCTCAGGGTTAAGTAAACGTGCATTGCAAGTCTAAAAATTCTGTGTCAACCAATGATTTCTCACCTTTTACAGGCTTTTCTTATAGACAGAAATTGAAATGACTAGGTAAAAACTCATGTGAAAACTTTGTACAAATCCAGTAAGGCAGCAATAGCACAAAGCTTTAAATGGACGGATACTGAATGACGTATGTGTACAATGACAGTGAATTTCACAAATGAAACTACCTTCCTTTCCACATTAGCTTCTAAGATTTAGTGCCCTCAAATTAATGGACTCAATAATTCTTTATTGTTTGTGGCCCTGAGGAAGAAGCTAAGATATCACACATGTTAAGCAAACCCTCACCCACGAGCTGTTCTTCCAGGTCTCATTCCACTTCCTCTTTCTGAGCCAAGGTCTTACTAAGTTGCCAGGTAGGCCTTGAGTCTGGAGACCCTCTTGCTTCAGCCTCCTGAGTACCTGGGATTACACGCAGGGCTTAAATTGGCTCAAAAAGAGTTTACTGAGAACTCAAATTCTACACTCTTAAGAATAAATGCAACTGCCAAGAACCGAACTAGTAAGAAGCGCTCAGTAGAAGCCCACTAAAAAACAACCAGAATTTCTGCAATTTCGAGTAGGTCCTTATGATCACAGCATCACACCAAGTTCACTCTGGTTTTAACCGCTGTCTGCCTCTTACTTGCCACCCCCCCCCCTTTTTCTGAGAAAGGAGCTTTGTAATGAACCCTTTGGCAGTCTTTTTTTTTTGGTTTTTTGAAACTTTTTCTCTGTGTAGCTTTGTGCCTTTCCTGGAACTCACTTGATAGCCCAGGCTGGCCTCGAACTCACAGAGATCCGCCTGGCTCTGCCTCCCGAGTGCTGGGATTAAAGGCGTGCGCCACCACCGCCCGGCTCCCTTTGGCAGTCTTAAATGTGTGATCCTCCTGCCTCTGCCTCCTGTGATTTCAGGCATGCACATGCAGTCTATTGCTGTCATTTTCTAAGATTTAAGTTTTGTTTTTCACTGAATCTCTGGATTTGAATTTTACCTCAACTAGAGTGGGAATTTCAGATGCAGACCAAAATCAAATCAAATCAAAACAAAACAGGCAATGGTCACACGAAAAGCACTGTTTCTGGATTTCTCTACATATGCTTCCTAACAGTTGAATAATCTCATGGAAGTCCACACTAATGAGTTGAGTCTGTAATGAAACATCCTGCATTCATCTCATGCAGCCACTCAACATTTACAGTAACCTAAACAGTCCAACAGAAACTTTCAGAAAAGAGCATCAGACTAGAACATCAGTTTTTCAGGAGTGGGCATGCAGACCCCACTTACCACTTGACAGCTAAGTTCTGTACTTCCCCATTCTTATCTTCTAGCAGCTTCAGAATCATCTTCACCACTTTCCTCTCGCTGTCGTCATCCAGCTTGATGGAGTCTTTTTGCAGCTCTGTCATCAAGTCATTTGTCGCCATAAACCTGGTAAAATTGAAAAAGTTCAAACAACTTAGTCGGGCAATGGTGGGGCACTCCTTTAATCCCAGCTTGGGAGGCAGAGGTAAGCGGATCTCTGAGTTTGAGGCCAGCCTGGTCTACATAGTGAGTTCCGGGACAGCAAGGGCTACACAGAAAAACCCTGTCTCAAACCCCTCACCCCAAAAGAGACAGAGAGAGAAGGGGAGAGAGAGACAGAGAGAATTTAAAGCATTAAAATACTGATTCCTTATACTTAGTGATGTTTCATTTTGCAAAAGAAACATAGTACGATATATTATAAAACACTCAACTACTTAAGTCATCATAAATTTAAATGCTACAAAGAAAAAATAACAGACTATACTAAAAAAAACAATGTTTTCAGAAAGGCACTTTTTAAAGAAATTAAGATTTACTTATACTTTTATGTGTATGAATGTTTTATTTGCATGCATGTATGTGTACCACGTGTATGCCTGTTGGATCCCCTGGAACTGGAGTTACAGATGCTGTGAGTCACCATGTGGGTGCTGGGAATTCAACCCAGGTCCTTTACAAGTATAACACATGCTCTCAACCTCTGATACACCTCTCCAGCCCTTCAGAGAGGCACTTTTAAAATTCTAATGTGCTCTTACATCAGTCACTAACCAAATTATGCCTAGATCAATCTTGATTTCAATTTACTAAGTAAGAAGACTTTAGTGAATGCTCTTCCAGTCTCATTAACTGCACTAGTACTTTTGCGGCAGTGAGGTGGGTGGTGGCTCCACATGCTTTGCATGGGATTTTAATTTAATTTGATTTACAAAAACCTTAACCACAAACATCAAAAATACCTTTCTTGCATGATGTGAGTGTTGAATTGGGGGATTATGTATTATAAATTACTAGATTGTATATACAAATTACTAGTTACCTAAGTACATTTTCAAAATGGACAGGGGCTGGGGAGATGGCTCAGCAGTTAAGAGCACTGGCTGTTATTTCAGAGGACCTGGGTTCAAGTCCCAGAACCCACATGGCAGCTCAAAACTGTCTGTAACTCCAATCCCAGAGGATTGAACACCCTCTTCTGGCCTTTGTGGGCACCAAACATGTATACAGTAGAGATATACATGTAGACAAACACTCATACACATACAAATCAAAATAATAATATAGAAACTTTTTGATCTCAGATTTAGTAAAAGGGTTGGATATTCAGAAAAGGAAAATGTGAAGTTCTAGATTTCCTCCCCCCATATAGGTAACAAAAACATTGTTTAAAATTAATGTTGCTGGATCCCATGCAAATAAAGCACTAAGAGCTGTTGAAAGCCAATGAACGTTTCCCCGAATCCCTGGCCTCTCAATAGCTGGCAAGACAATTTAGTAAGTGATTAGTTTAAGGATAATTTCAATAATTAGGAATCAATATCCATTTAACACCAACGTCAATTTTAAACTACATAAAAGCATGTAATTCAATTTTTATCAACTCTTTCAATTTTTATTTCAGGTTCCATATTTATTTTATTTCAAGTTACATAAAACTGCTAAAGAAAAACTTACGTTCACATTGAGGCAATAGGAGATAAATTAGACAGGCACTTTTTGAAGCTCCTACCATTATATAATAAAATAAAAAGCAATATTAAAATCAAAGTTTTGATTAATATTCTGAAGTGGGAAGAACTGCATAATACCTTAAAGAAGGTATATTAATTGTATTAGTCACTATTCATTCCTATGAAGGGACACCATGACCAAGGCAACTCTTACAAGAAAAAGCAGCTAACTGGGGGCTTGCTTACAGTTTCAGGGAGTGAGTCCATTACCATGGAAGGGAGCATGGTGGCATGCAGGCAGGCACTGGAGCGGTAACTGAGAGCTCTACATCCTGATCCACAGAAGAGAGAGAGAGACTGGGACTGGTGGTTTTGAAACCTCAATCAAAGCTACTCAGGGTGATACACTGGCTCCATCAAGGCCACACCTCCTAATCCTTAGGACCCTTTCAAACAGTTCCACTCCCTGGTGACTAAGCATTCAAATATGGTACCCCCAATGGGGCCATCCTTATTCAAAACACTACACAAAGCACTGAAAACATTTTAGCATGCTTTCCTTACATAAAACACACTAAATACTCACTAGTTTACAACCTCTCAGCATTTTGCAATGCCAGCTGTTGAGTCCAGTAACAATAATCAATTCAAGTTAAAAAAAAAAAATGTATACAATCTCAATAACAAGGTGTTTGATAGTTCTGGTGGGTTCTATTGGATACAAGAATGGTACATCCTTTTACTCATCTTCTACTTATTCACTGTCTATTAAACTAGAAAGCCAAGACTAAGCTAAGCACAAGCAAAGGGTCAATTAGCCTCCACCTTGACATCAAAAACATGTAATAAAGAAGCCTATTGATTTTCAAAACCCCAGTGATTAATAGCTAAATAATTTTTTAAGGTTGAAAAGAATCATCAAAGTTATCAACATTATTTTTCAACGTCAGAAAATCTGGATGAAAGTATGATAATCCCAAGTACCCCTCAGTGGTGATACTGAAAAAGACAGTTCTGGAAGTTTCTTTCCTAGTCCTATATAAAAACCTGCATAATAAATACTCTTGGAAGGAAGTTTTTCAGCCAGTCAGAAAGCTGTTTTCAAGCAGGTTGAAAAGCTAATTTGGAAGACTCCAGCACACTCTATTGTTCTAGGTTCTAAGGCGGAGGTGACACACACACACACTCAGTCTGCTGTTTTCCATCTAATGGGACAGACATACACAGACAAAATCTCATCCTTACAACTTTTTCCAAGAATTTATTAGTTTCATCTTAAGTTTCAAATATATTCATCTCTTTTTAAAATTATTTCTTTTATTCTTCTTACAAATTTCTAACACCAAAAAGCACCCTGGCATGGTATGCACACCTATAATCCCAGGTGCAGAAGGACAGGTCAAGGTCATACTCAGCTAAATGACTTTGAGGCTAGACAAAGCTACATGAGACACTGTCTTAACAAAACAAGACAACACAACACCTACTGAGACTATCCAAACAATCACATCCAACAAAGTGCCTGCTGGTTGAGCTCTCAGAGCAGGAACAGGGGTTTAATGGGGAAGTTGTCCCGGGACTTATCCTTCTCTTTTGGTAAGGGTGTTGGAGGGATCCACAGAGCCCATCAGAATAAAGCCTAGCTGTTCAGTGTGTCTGGAGCACAGAACCAAGTGGAGAGAAATTTAATCTGAGAGACTGGAAATGCAGGCTAAAGTGAAGCTGGAAACGGTCCCAGGTATTCACTAATCATGTACTAAGAAATCAACATACCAGGCATTCTACAAACTGCTAAGATTACAGGGGCTAGCCATAGCAGATCCAAGTCCCTGTTGTTTCAGAATTTACAATCCAATCCAATAAGGGAAATATTTTTAAGGCTTCATATATGAACAAATACTTGCACAATTATGAAGTGAGATAAGTACTACAAAGTAAAGCAAAGTCCCATCAAGGAAACTGCAGATGGAGAGATGGGTAAGTGGTTAAATGTGTTGAGTCCTAAGGACCAGAGTTTGGATCCCAGCACTCATGAGGGGGAGGGAGGCGGGGGGTGCCACTCACAACGGTTAACTCTAGCTCCAAGGGATCTGATTCCTTATTCTGGCCTCTACAGGACACCCCCTTCCCCAAATACACACTAACGTATATCCACTCACACAGAACAGGGGGAATCCATTCACAAAAATAAAATTAAGAAAATTTAAAAGAAAGCACAATGTCCTGATACCCATATCAAGGAATACTGAGCTATGATGAGAAGACAGAATTATTCTGGAAAAGGGAAAAAATTGACACCAGGTAACCAAGGGCTGGGAATAAAAGAGATCTGTAGACTATCCCAGGACTTGGGATTTTGGATTAAGAGTACCGGGCGGTGGTGGCGCACACCTTTAATCCCAGCACTCGGGAGGCAGAGCCAGGCGGACCTCTGTGAGTTCGAGGCCAGCCTGGGCTACCAAGCGAGTTCCAGGAAAGGCGCAAAGCTACACAGAGAAACCCTGTCTCGAAAAACCAAAAAAACAAAAAAACAAAAAAACAAAAAACCACAAGATTACTAGGAAGCTCCCCAAAGACATGTGGGACAGAGCTGGGAAGAGAAATACTAGACTTGCCTTCCAGAAGAGCCATTACCACACTTCAGAGAGTCAACCTTCAGTCAGTTGGACTAGAGACAGGTTAGGATACAGCACACAAAAGACAACACAGACTAAATGAGTAACTAATGGAAATGGGCAGGGGTAAACACAGGCTTACACCTGTGAATTAACTTGGTAGATATCAGTAAGCCCCACACAAATCCTCCCTACTCCGGAACCACCTGCAGAGTCACCCGACACTCTTCACTGGAGCGGGGCTCTACCTTCAACTTTCCTATCACAGACAACTAATCTTTTGTGATCCACATTTACACTTTCTGCTGATGGTTTTGTTGCTTATCATGGCCCCCAGGCATAATTTGAAGAACTGTCTAGCATTCCCACATACAAAAGGGCTATGATGTGATGGAAAAAAGCATGTTAAATAAGCTTTATTCATGCATGTGTAAACTGCTATTGACTATGAGTTCACTGTTTAATCAACCATATTAAATAAAGTGTTTTTAAATGCAAGTAGACATAAAACAAAACTACTAACATATCAACTAATAAAAATGCAGGAATCAGAGGCTCACAGGAATCAAACTTCATAATCTCCTTAAAAGCAATGATTTGGGGTTCAATGTCTGCTAATTCAGATTTGAGGAAATTTTCCAGAACATGTTACTACAAACACTAAGGGCCAACTCCTTGTATTTGAAATTAAGGGGTAAAACTAATAGTTCTCTTCAGAGCGAATTACATACAGGGACAGAGAGTAAAGAAAGAGATAAGAGATTTCATACAGGGACAGAGATAGCTGGGAGAAAGATGTGGAAAGAGACTTAAGACCTGAATCAGAGAGCATCCCTGA